ACAATTAATTGAGGTTTTTTTTTTTAAAAAAAAATCTTATTGCATGTTGCTATCACTGGAAAGTGCAACCATTTTATTAAATAGTTGAAGTTGCTTAAAAATCTCATTATTTTTCCCCAACAAAAAGATTGATTTCCACACATACTGTTTAGAATTGTTTACACAGTTCCAGTTGTTTCAAACACCAGTATATTTTAAGGATCCCATCCCAAACTTTTCATTGCCCAAAATAAAGCAACAAATACCAAAGAGGCACCTGAAAACTTTACAACCATTGCCTTCTTCATCAAAACTTTTGAAAATATTAAAGAAAAAAACCAGCTCCCAATATTGTAGTGGCTATTTTTGTTTTTAATTTATAACCTTTCATTCATGCAAAATTATGATGACGCTAAATGGAGGGACTTATGACCGCTGCCCAAAGTTATAGCTGTTGCAATGCCACCATGATTACATAGTCAGAATTTGGGTGCTTGGCAATCCACCCAGATTTACAATCTCAGGGACACTGCAACCCTCCCTCCACCTATCTCCCCCCCCCCCAAAAAATCTGGGATGCCTGCATGGTGGCAGTCAGTGGCAACGCTGAGGCTGGTCCTGAAGTAGAGTCCTAGGACCTTCAGCAATCTCAGCTGGCTGCCACTACTCCAGGTCTTGACTTCAGTCTTAGCACTGCTGCTGCCACTGAGAAATGCTGCATCACACTGTTCTCCAAAGCTTTCAAGCTTGCGAAGAAAACTGCAGGCACTTGCCCAGACAGTTGCCAGAAGTCGATGCTAACTTGAAGACACAGACATGCACACACGTAAACACACATAGAGACACATATTCTGAAAAAAGCCGATTACTCAGATTAAGTGAAGCAACAGTGTAGGTTGTAGCACTATCCATTAAGTAGAACATATATTTATATTCTGATTTGGGCACAGTGGCATAAATGCCAGGACCTAATGATGTTCTTTGCCTGGGTCTTATTAATATAACTTGTCTTATGCAGGAAAATATTTTGCTATTGTGATCTGTATCTAGCCAGTTCAACTTCAAGTTCCCCGTAGAAAGGATCTGATGTAATTGTTCATATAGTGGAAGACCCACTTTACATGCCCATGATTCAGTTTCTACCTTCTTGTATAATATTAATTTACAATTGTTGCATCATGTCTTTGCTTCAAGAATTCAAATAACACGTATGAGTTTTGATCATGTCATACTTATAACAATTCTGTGAGATAGGGATAGATTGGTTTGTCCAAAACTAGCTGAAAGCGTGCTGAGATGAATAAGGATTCTGTAGTCTAGCACTTTAGTAAAAACATTGTATTGGATCTCACAGGTTTCTTAGATTCAATTTCATTTGTTTTGTTAGAAGATAAAAGTAATAAATGTCTCCAAGAGAAATGGGTAGATTGAAGGCAGTACATACATTTTATAGATATGGCTATTTCCAGCTTGTTATACACCATCTATCATATGATACTTCCTTGCTGGGGTTGAAAGTATAAGGTAGGGGCTATGATTAATATTTAAGTTTCCACAAAATGTTGGAATATGTACATTTGTGCATAAGTTCTTCCTTCAGCCTCATCCAAACATTTTAAATGTAAGCTGGGTTTTTAGCATGACAGAAATAACAATAAACTTGATTCAAAATGTAAGAAATTACTTTCAAACCTAAAACAAAAATCTCACACAAATATGAAAAAATTACAGCAAATGAATTCTTCTGTTTTGATAAGAAGAAATAGAAAATTCTAAAGTTGGACTAAGAATTACAATCTGGGGGATATGAATGTGGAGGAAAAAAGCAAAATAAAAAGGGATAGCAGAAATTGGTTTTCTTTCCATGCATCCTTAGAGCAGAAATTGCTCCTTTTTGGGAGTGGGGGGAATTTGGAACTTTTTTTTGTCTTTTTAGCAAAATTGTGTGATCTTCTGCCAGCCCTAAAGAGGCAAGTTCAACATTAGTGTAATTGAGTCAGGGTGGGTCTGCTCAAACATAAGTGAAATAAGGGATTTATAAAAAGGACTTTGACTCTACAACTCCCTCAGGTTCAGTTCATATGTAAAAGCTAAAGTATCTGGTTCTGACAATAAAGGTGGGAGAGGTTTTTGTATATTGAGTACATTTGACTAACTGCCACATGCACAAACTCTGAAAGGCATGTAGGAGGCCACCTTAAAACAAAAACATGGGCAAAAAAATGGGCAGAATCAGGACAAAATGAAATTGAATCATTTTTAGATTAAACATGATTTCAACAGCTACATCTGAAGTCTCAGAAGGTCAAGACGGGTGGACGAATCACCAAATCTAGCCATGGCTCTTGAGCAAGAATAAAGGTATAGTAATTTGTCCATTTGTAGATCAGGAGGCCTCTCTGGGAGGAGATCAAGGAAGTGTCAAATGGCAAAAGTGTTGCCATAAACTTGCAAAAGTGTTGCAACAAAACTTACTCCATAAGCCCTGCTCTCCTTTTCCATATGTTGCAATGTTGCATACATACTGTATACAAATGGGCAAAGTTTGTGATACAATGGTGTGATGCTGCTTTCATCATTTTGACAAAAGTACCCTGTGGATACTTCTGGGGACAAAACAGAGATGGGGATGAAGTATACATGAGTTTATGTGCCTCCAGGGTAGTGAGATACAATGGGATATGTATGAAGGATTGTGCATGAATGTGTGTGGAAATATATGTGGATCTTAGACCTTGATGTAACAGCAGGAATCCTTTGGGGATGAAAGGCAACTGAATCCACAGTTCTAATTTTCTTTACCTGAACTACACTACCTTGGAGTTTAGATAGGACTTCTTCTATGTTTAAGGGTTCTTTAATTTTAGTAGTAGTGGTAGTAAACTATACATTCCATATTAATTTTTACATAGAGCTTTATGCTGCAGAACATTAAGACACATTGGAAGTAAAGCCCACTTTATTTTTTCTATTGAGAATTAAATCAAGAACTGTACCGCTAGAAAGCTGTCACAGGTAAGTATGGTGTGTTGAGGGAGTGAACTGTTTTATTTTTTTAATATTTTTTCCTATTTAAAGCTCTCTCTAGTAAGAAATAATTTCTTTTAATTAAAAAGATTATGAGCAAATTCTCACTCTATTCCCTCTCATGCCATAACTCTAATGAAAGCATCTGTATTAGTATAATAATAGGTTTAATAAGTGAGAGTGCAAAGTTGGGGAAAAAAATAATAAAAGTAAAGAAATGTGGTTCCAACTGTGATTCCATTAGACATTTGCAAAACACTACAGAAAGTGGTTCCAAAGTTGGTAAAAAGAAATTGGCTTACAAAATTGCCAAGTTATTTTCTTAATACATTTGTGGTCCCAGCCTCCAATCACTTGTTTATGGAATACCTTCACAAGATATATAAGGGGTGGAACCTAACTCAAGAGTTGATGGTTACACTATAGCTGAATAAGAAAATGTATCTTAGTGTGAGGTGTTCAAATTTTGCAATATTGTGACTTCTATTATGAATGTTTGTGACTCTCCCACCCCACCAACCTCAGAATAAAATAAATGATTTTATTGGAATTAGGATCGATCCAAAAAATAATTTGCCAAGAACACTGAAAATTGGGCATAATTGAACTGGGGTGGTAATGATGGGGGGGGTAATCAATCACCGATTAAAAGTAACATAACTTTTACCATATTTTTTTCTAATTATGTTTCCATATCAGCATAATAGATGGATTGGTCATTTTTAGCTGTTCTCTTACCACCCAGTGAAAACTCTTCACTTTTACAATAATGGATAAAAATATTGAACTTGTCCACTAACGTGCACTTTTACAGATATTCCAAATAGAGGCATATGAGCACATTCCAAGCTGGATTTCTTTGCAATTTGTTTTCTCCAAATCTTAGCCAACTCAGTTTTGTAGGAACTATTTTATCCATCTCCCCAGAAACATGCAAAAGACTCAGACATTATGGTAATTCTGTGGTACTGAGGAGGATTCAAAATGGGAGCCAGGCTGCCCTTGCTGCCGCCTTTTTCAGAGACAGGAAACAAAGAGAGAAAAAAGGGGAGGAGGAAGCTGAACTTCTGCTATTATTAAATTACTATTCAAACTGAAGATTTTCCTGGAAAAAGTTCCTACTCCTCTGAAGACATTCTTTGAAATGCTTCACTGCCCCCACTATTGCTCTGCTTGCAAATAGGGTGGAGAACATCAAGAGGCCCTCTGCACACAATTCTACTTTGGGACAGAGATATTTTTATGAACATTTTTTATTGACAAGAGAGCTTCTGAAGCCAAGTGTTTGCTTTCCTCAGAGTAATACCGACTCCTACCACAGGAGGTCACAAATAATAACACATAGAAGAAACCAAGGGAGTGAAGAAAATGTCTCCTGCTAGCCCGGCCAGAAATTTAAAAGTCAGAGGAAAAAATCCACCCTTACTTATAAATCTTGCTTGCTTTGCATTCCACAAAATAAATGGACGGAACACACCAGAGTTGGAGACAGGCAGACAGAGAGGAAATTGGCAGCCCTACAAGGCTTTGGTTAATGGTATTTCTTATTCCTCTTAGCAAATGAAAAAAATAGGCCATTTCTAGTATGCGCCAGCTGTCCCAGGAAGGAATTTGATAGCTTGTGTGAAACACAGTGAAAGCAGCTCAGGAGAAGAGAAAGTTGCTGGGCTGTAGCTTTTCTGAGTCTGCAAATTGGGGAGAGTGTTCTCCCCATCCACCCCCCAACCCCCAAGTGGACTGTTGGATCAGAAGGGATTATGCCTGGAAAGAACTGGGTTCTGAGCAAAGGCTGCATCTGCCAGCAGGTCCCCGATCATTAACGATTGTTTACTTTTTCCTCATGTTCAGACATCATACTGGAGTGATGGAAGATGTAATCATTAATTGGGGAGCTATTTCAAGATGTTCCCATAAACACTGAATCAGGATGCTGGCACGCTGCCTCACAAACAGTTATTGCCAAAACTCATTCACTCACTTTTCTTTTTGGAGTAGTGACATACAACTGCTGGTATTATTTCTGCCTTTTAAGCTTTCCAATGTAGTAAATGCAGACAGCTTTTAACACTCAAATTTGTAGGTAAGCTGGAGGGGGTGGGTGGGGAGAGAAAGAGAGAGGGAGGGAGGGAGGGAGGGAGGGAGGGAGGGAGAGAGAGAGAGAGAGAGAGAGAGAGAGAGAGAGAGAGAGAGAGAGAGAGAGAGAGTTAGTTTTTAAAAGAAAATTGTTCTAAAATGTTAGCAATTTGTCCCTGACTTCTATCACAATGACAGCCCAGGATGAAGTATAAAAAATATCTGTTTTGCTTTACCCTTTTGGAATCCTATTAATGACGGGAAGACTATCAGACATAATTAGGACTGTAAGTCTTCATATAAGCAGTTACTCCCTCTTTTTTACAGAGGGTTTTTTTATTATTATTATTATTATTTAGTGGAGAGGAGAGATGAGACAGAAACAGGTCCTTATATGGGATACTGTTCTGTGAATTATCATAAACAAATCCAAATGGCCACTTCATACAGATTTACTCCATATGGAGGAGGTGGGGGAAGGCAGGGCATAACATATATTCAGTTAAACAAGAGTTTTACCATTTTCTTTTGCTGCCCTACAATACCAGACAAAACATTTTAGAGGTCAGATAAGGGAGCTAAAATAAATCACACATCACTGGGAGCACAAGACTAACCCAACTCCATCTAAGCATTCTCCAGGACAAAAGGCCATTGCTATCCAGAACCATTGCTTTCAGAGTTTTAGACTCCTTAAGGTGTCTAGTCCAGCACTGAATGCCTTTGTTTAACTTTCCAGAGTAATAAAGACAACCACCCAAACTCACAAAAGCACACTGCAGCATTTAATGTGATGCTCAAGATAAGAGGACTGGGTTCAGTACTCCTGGAATTTGAGTTATAGGATTCCAATGCAGGTATAGTATTGAGGAAATTCCAGTTCTATCTCTATTTACATTAGCACTGAAGCTTTTAACAGCTACATGAACCCTGCAGAAGTTATTCTGATGCAAAATCAAGGGGCATATATGGGGCAACAAATGTCAAAATGGGTAACATGATGTTATGATGCAAAAGCTATGAGACACTGAGTCCCAATGTCTGATAAAAAGGGTTTAGGGTGGGATTTGTAACATGATTTTGCCAAATGCTATCCAAATTTTGGTATCATTATAACTTGCAGTGGATGACAATATAACTGAATGGGTGGAGAGGACACATAGCAAAATATGCTCTATTTTAAGGCTAAGGAGAGGCACATGCCTTGCATTTTAGTACTTTTTTATGAATTATTAATGCAGCAAGGTGATTTTATCTTAATCAGGCAAAATGGCAGAACATAACACCGTAGAAATGTAGGTGCTCTTTGACTCCATCTCAGGTTTTGCAGTGGAATTCCTCAGGCTCATTGTCCTGGGTGATTTCAGCCTGCTTTCTCTGGGAGTCTAAGCCTGCTCAGGAATTCGTTGCCTCCATGAAAGTCTTGGGCCTAACTCAGCTCATCCAGAACTCCTCACACCTGATCTGGTTTCCCTATCAAAACAATGGCAAAATGATCTGGAATTGCCTCAACTAACCAAAACTAAATCATGAAGAGCTTGCACTCACATAACTCCTCTAATTAGCATCTTGTTCTCTTTAACTATGTGGATTCACAGGTGGTTGAACCTACTATGCCCAATGAGTGGTCTTTAATATTATTATTTTTTCTCCGGGAGATGGAGGAAAACTTTGCCTGAGAAAATATACTATCCTTAGTGTGACTTCTTACAGTGAATTTGTCAGGCCCAATTTTAATGTTTGCTCTGATTCTTAGGCTAGCCCTCAATTGTGGTTCCTGGGTGCCCTATGATAGCTAGTGTTGGTTAATCTATCATTGAAATTTTGCAAGTTCTAGACTGAGCAAATATAAGCATGTGTTCAGTTAGTTGGAAGAACATTTTGATAGCAGTCAGGTGAACTCTACTAAAGCTCCTATTTTGTTTTGTTTACAACTTTCTCTCCAAATGCTTGCTTCTGATAGTATACTTGTAATTAAGGTCTTGGACACAAATAATAATCCTGTTGCAAAATAGTACATTCTTTGTCATATGCATAATATCACAGGTGCAGCACAAACAAAATTTTGGTTCCCAGCCCTAATATCTGATTTTTTTTGGTACGGAAATTACTTATTACCAAAAAACAGGCAGGAAGCCATTAGAACATAGCACCGAGCTAGAATCATATATTAAATAATCAGGAAAACAACCCAGGACAGCTTTCAAATACTCGCTTGCTTCTTTAATTAATATACTAAAATTTCTTATCACTTTTCCCTTCAAGGAAGTCCAAGATATTGTTCTCAGTTTACTTTGAATATGAACACTTTAAAGGTGCATTTTAGAGGTGGGGGAGAAAGACCATAGAACAATCGAGTGTTTTTCTATTTATTCTATCTTAGTACTTTTTTTAAAAAAAATCTGTTTGATGGACATTTTGAGGGCTTAGAGTGATGATGGAGAATTCTGAAAATATTAATATTAACTTTTGGTTTGTGTAAGACTTCAAAATAGTATGAAACATCTTAAGAAAGATTTTTTAGGAAAAAAAATCCTAGATGAAAATTACAAAAATCCCAATGAACAGTAGTTGGTAGAAAAAAAAAACACAGAAATCCATGACATTGCCCTAGTAACCCCCAAATGTTTGAACCCCACTTTAGTTGGTCCTGATTGTAACTGTTCTACAATCTTTACTAGTATGAATCTTCAACTTGATTCTGAGAGGCAAACAAAGCTCAAAGTTTTAAACCATTTTGCTTGACCATTGAACTTTTAAAGCAGAACTAGGCACAGAGTGACTTAATGTGGTGTGTTGATTCAGGTGATGGGCTGACAGGCCCAGTTGAAGTCCACCCTCAATTCCAGAAGTCCATTGGCTTTCACCTAAAACACTTCACAAGATGGTAGTTGTGGGGGAGGGGAGAATGGGAAAATGAAGTACTGGGTATACCATCTTGAATTCCTGAAGAAAAGACAATAGATAATCGAATAAATAAAGAAACAAACAAGGTAAATATCTAGGTTGGTTCTATTGAAATTACGGTAAATATTGATAACCACCTCAACAGAGTATACTTAAAGAAAAGGAAAGACCTGATTGGTAAATCGTACTTCATTTTCCTGTGATTTCTTTAGTGCCATCTTTAAAAAGACAGTTCCTTGATAAACAATAAGGAAGATGTTCCATTCTTCAGGCTAATTTTCCTGCTCCCCTCTCTCTTCTTGCTGTCAGATGGAGGCACTCTAATTGTCACTTGTCTTTATGGTGAAGCAAAAGGAGGAGAGTTCCATCCAATGTATTCATTTATTATTAAGTTTTAGTTATTTTTTTCCCTTAAAGCCAATATCATGTTTGCATGTTTGTGTATTCAATCCTTAAAGTTGGCCTCTTTATGTTTATACATGTGGATCACTAGCCACTGTTTTTACAAGCTCAGATTTACCTCTGTCCACTATGTTGGGAAGGTGGGTGCATTGTTTCCTACCATGTTAAGGTGGAGAAAACTCAGAAATAAATAGACCTAGTATCATTAAAATAAACAAACTTCCAAGAAATTTGCTTCCTTCCTTCCAGGCTTCAATTATCTTGCATCATTACCCCATTCTCTTCAATTTAGCACCAGCAAAGGTCCCTAGCCACCAAAGGTTTACCCACCCTGGGGTTACAGGAATATCTATTGATCTTGACTGAGAACTATGTACATTCTTAATGGTCCTTTATTTCCTGTAAGCATGTGCAGAATATCAGTTTAAGAGCTTACACCACTGGCAAAATCTAATACAAGAGCTCCAGGAAGTAATGTAAACAGCAACACTAAAAGTTTGTTAGTTTCTTGCTAAACCAATGCAGTGGCATTCCATTTGTTATAATGCAGTTCAAAATCCAGTTTTATTTAAAAAAGTGGTTTATTGAATTGGATCTGTTGTGTTCTCTGTAATATTTGCTGGGAGATCATACTGAAATGAACTTTGTAGATATTAAAGATGTAGAATTCAAAAGATCTGCAGAGCTGCTGATCTCCATGTTCTATACTTCGCCAATAAATAAGTAACTTCTGGTCTTCCTCTGATTGTTTTCTAGCAATAACAGAAACTGGGTGAGGCAGTTGTACATTTAGTTTGACTTAGAAGGACTTCTTTCTTTCTTTTTGCAAATCCTGATTAGTTTGGCTATCCAATAATATGCAAGAGTTTCCTCACTGCATAGAATCCAAGGATTGTCTTCTCTCTTGCTGCTTTTAATTCTTTTCATTTAGACTGTGCATTTTTTGAATTTGGTTTTGCTTGTATTAGTTAAAAAGTGCCAATATTTTAAAAAGAAATTCATCTTTATTTTATGCCTGATGTGTGTATCAAGGGAATGATGGGAAAAAACACTAGCCCATGTAAAATTATCAGGACAACCATTTGAATAAAATTAGTGCTGTATGTTTGTATCACGTGTATTAATAAAAGCCATTTGATTAATGGTTCAGGATTGAAGTATTAAACTGAAACATGTTTTTTTTTTCTTTCAGAAATTTAAATCACGGGATATTTGTTTGTCCATTTGATAAAGCACTTTGCCCCTTCTGTCCCACATTTTAAAATCATATTAACGTTTTGAATGAGGATGATCCTCTGTCTGGCTGCCTTTCAAACAAAGAAAAAGAGGAGGAGCCCTGTTCCCAACTAGTGGAAATAAAGGGAAATCAACCTCCAGTCTCTCTAAACTTGACCTCTTCTGATTTCTTCCTGAATCCTGATTATTCCAAGGTATACTCCATTTTTAGGAACTTGTCACTTCCTGCCAGGACTTACTTTTTCTTTTGCAATTGAGATCAGCTGTACATGCTGTTCTCTCAATCGTTCCTTAGATAGCAACCTAAGATGGGTCAAGTTCTAACAAGGAAAGAAACAAAGACTCATTCTATTATAAGTGCTATTCTAAGCTACCACACAATGGCTCAGCAGTTAAAGATGCCGAGCTTCTCAGCTAAAAAGCTGACACCCAGAGTAAAGACCTGAGTACCACTCAACAGGGTAAGTTCCCATTACTTGGCTCACCTAGCAGTTTGAAAGCATCCAAATATCAGTAGATAATTAGGTAACATTTTAATGGGAAAGATAACAGCCTTCCATGTGCTTATGGCATATAGTCATGCTGGCCACATGACCATAGAAGTGTCTTTGGACAATGCTGGGCCCCTTGGCTAGGAAACAGTGAAGAGCACCATCCTCTAGACTGGACAGTGGAAATCTTTACCTTTACTTTTACCATTTTGATATGTTGAAAAGAAAGGTTTGTCTAGATAATTTTCTTGAGCATTGCTATTGTATAGTTAGTATTGATGAATAAGGCTGCTAAAGTGTCCCATTAAGCAACAGACCATATCAATGAAAACATATCACAAATTTAACCAAAATAAGAGTTAATAAGTTTAACCAAAATTAGAAGTCTTCTAGTCCACCACCCCCACTACACCAATCCAGACAAATGGCTTTCCAATCTCTTCTTAAAAGCCTCGAGGGATGGAGCATCTACAACTTCTGAAGGCAAGCTATTCCACTGGTTAATTGTTCTCACTATTAGGAAGTTTCTCCTTAATTCCAGGTTACTTCTCTCCTTGATTAATTTCCATCCATTGTTTCTTATCTTGCCTTCTGGTGATTTGGAAAATAGGTTGACCCCCTCTTCTTTGTGGCAATGATTCTACAAATCGACTTCTCTCAGATTAGATTTGGATCAGGGTAGAAATGGCAGATTTCAAATAAGCATTGTTTGTATTTAACTTGAGAAATTGGCAACAGGTTTCTTTTCTCTTTTGTAGAGTGACATTGGAAACCTGAAGCCATGTTGTAGGAGATGATCAGGCTGAGTCTTTGTGTCCACAAGAGATCTAATCCAGCCTCCTTGAATTCCATTGACTCTTTTGTTGTTGTTAATCGCGAAGTCATGTCCGACCCATCGCGACCCCATAGACAATGTTCCTCCAGGCCTTCCTGTCCTCTACCATCTTCTGGAGTCCATTTAAGCTCATGCCTACTGCTTCAGTGACTCCATCCAGCCACCTCAGTCTCTATCCTCGCCTTCTTCAGTTGCCCTCAATCTTTCCCAGCATTAGGCCCTTCTCCAGTGAGTCCTTCCTTCTCATTAGATGGCTAAAGTATTTGAGTTTCAACTTCAGGATCTGGCCTTCTAAAGAGCAGTTGGGGTTGATCTCTTCTGGGACTGACAGGTTTGAATGCCTTGCAGTCCAAAGGACTCGCAAGAGTCTTCTCCAGTACCATAGTTCAAAGGCCTCAATTCTTTGTCACTCAGCCTTTCTTATGGTCCAACTTTCACATCTATACATTGCAACTGGAAAAAACATGGCCTTGACCAATTTGCCTTGACTGCTGGTAGTTTATATTCTTGTTTAGAGATAGCATGGAATAAACCTGTACTCATTTGAATAATGCTGGGTCCTGGTTTCCTGCACCTGACACATGTTAGATTTTATTGCTGGTATCTACAGGCTGCTTAGAAAGTCCTTCTTACAAAGAGGTAGAGCCAAAAAGATTGTTCTCACTATATTTGATAAGTCTGTTAGTATTCATTCTATAGTATGACTCATACCCATCTTTAAAAAAAATAGGGGGAATTGCTTTGGCATGCATAACCACATCATGGAAGCAATTATGTTATCCTAATTCTTTAAAGTCTTTTCAAAGAAAATATAGTTAGAGGGAACAGGCAATAGCAACAATAATCTCACACATCGCTTTATTGATTCAGTGCTAGATTCATATTCTAACTTTCCCCAGCAACCCAAATACAAGAGGAATCATCAGGGTCAGCAACATATCACTTTGTCCCACAGTATTACATGGAAATAAGGCATCATAATTCTAGCCTAACATCATCCCCATGCTGGCTTGCTTGCTTTCACCACACCTATTTCGTTCCATTACAATAGTTGCTATTCCGGTTTGGAATTTATTTTGAAGACACCATAGGCTGCATGGGAGTAAGATTTAGTCCTTCCCTGTCTCACAGATGAAAACCCTGGCATTGCTGCAAGTTTAGTCCTGGTTCTAATTGGAAGAAGTTCGGAAGAGGTGAACTTCAATTAGCACTTGCACTTTGGACAGAATTTTCATTAGGGTCACAGATGGGAGAGCAAGGGTTAAGTTTTACCTCTCCCCATGTTGAAATCTCATTGGGAGTTGCACCTAAGTTTCCATTAAAAAAATCAGAGCTTTTTTTTTTTTAAAAAAAAAAAACAACTGTTTGATTAAAAGCCAGACTATTAAAGAAATATACAATTAAACCCTGAGAATAATTATGTTTTCCCAGCAAGCACTGCTTCGGATAGAAATTTCATGAGGGTTGTATAAAAAATAAGACAGAAAAAAAATGTTTATTGCACTGGACCCCAGAAATTCATTTGAACCAGCTGGAGTTTTTGTTTTCAATTGTTACTTGGAATGTGTTTTTAATGACATTACCATACTCTTATTTTTAAAAACAAATTGAAAATTACATTTTCATTATCTGTTTCATTGCAAACATTTTCCCCATTGTTTTGTTAAAACAGTGTATATAAATACTGGGAAATAAATACTAGATATTTCTGAATGTGTGGGTGTTGTTGCTATTGTTTTGGAAAGCAAATGAACATCACTCCAACCAAAGGAAATGCATCACTAAGAAATGAGGACAAAAGAAGGAATCAGTTTCGGGAAAATGAACATGGGCATACATTAATTTAGTCTGATGAACTCTGACAAATACTGACTACAATTTAGGTATAAAAACTCTTAATCTACCCATAGAGTGGACGGCTGAAGTACATGACCCCTGAACCTGCTATGTAAATGCTTATCACTGGATGAGAGCCAGATTGGTGAAGTGAGGCACCAGGATAAAAACCAAGAGTCCATGAATTCTAGTCCCTCTTTAGACATAAAGCCAGCTAGGTAACCTTGGGCCATTCATTCTCCCTCAGTAATAATCCAAAAACCTGCCAAGAAAATTACAGGGGCCAGTCCAGACAGTCACCAGGAATCAAAGCTGACTCAAAAAGGCAAATCTGTCTGTCTTTCTGTCACTGGGAAGCAATATCTGGTAGAGCCTACAAAGCCCAGGACCTTTGGCTTCCTCATCAATGAAAACGATGAGGTTTCACAAGATCCTCAATCTTTGCATCTTCCATGATTCCATAAAAGCTGCCACGATCCTGCTGAGAACTGAGGAAGTTGTGAATAATGGTGGGTAGGGTAGAAAAGGGGTAGAAACAGAATGAAGGAGGGACACATAGTTTCTTTAGAGTAGGTTCCTTCAAACATGAAGAAAAAAGTGAGCTTATATTGTTCAACTCTATTCCCCCAGCCTCTATTTTGTGATGACAGCTACAATACTTCTCAACATTTGAAATGTATACGTTGGCCCCAAACACATGCAAATTACTTAAAACAGGCTTTGCCTGTAGCAAATTAAGAAAATTGCTCTGTGTATGGATTTTGGAAGAGAACTGACAAATGTGTCTTACCTATACATTAGAAATATAGTCCATCCCAATTTTCAGAAAGTGTCAAATAGTTTTGAATGACAATAGATACCAAGGGAATGAAGAAACCTTCAACTTTCTCAAGTTTAGCAAAGACTCCTTATTTTTGACAGGGATATCTGCAGGTCTGGTCTCAAAAAGTCACGACGGCAGCTGTGATACATGTAAAAAAGGGGCAGGGTTTGATCGTGCAGTTGAGGCTGCCATCTTGACATTTCTGACATCCCTGTGTGGATACTTGGTATTTTATTAATCAGTTAGAATTAAATATTTGCCAGTAAGCGATTATTTTTATTCATTACAATTTACTTACTATTTAACTTTATGTTTGTTATTAATTGCTTAGAGTCTGACGCATTTTAACATCTCAGTATAGAAAATCTTCTAGCAACAGAATAACTATATAATTTTGACTAAATTGGTGCTAGAACTACAAAGATATTTATGGAATTTCTGAGTCCAATTCAAGGTACTGTTTTTGACCTTCAAAGCCCTTCATGGCATGGGCCAAGTTATCTGAGGGGCCACCTCTCTCCAGTGGTGGGATTCAATATGTGAACAACCAGTTCTCTGTGTGGATGCTGCTTCCGGAAGTCCGTTCTGGACCTGGGCAACAAAAAATTAGCTACCAGTTCTACCGAAGTGGTGCGAACCAGCTGAATCCCACCACTGCCTTTCCCCAATTTTATCACCTCATTAGGTCTGATAGAGAGGGCATACTATGGGTTCCATCTACAAGAGACTTATATTTGGTGGGTCCCAGCAGGCAGGCCTTCTTCTTTGCAACATTCTCCCCTACTCCTCCCTTTCCCCAATTAAGTTTGCTCTATTAATGTTCAGGAGACACTTCAAGATTTGGTTGTTTTCAGTGATGTATTAAGGTGACCCCGTATTTCTTTCTCCATTTGTGGTTTGTAAATTTTAATTTTTAGTCTTTGTTAATATTTCATAATTATTAGTTGTATTTTGTAATGCATGTTGTATAATGACTATTTTTATATTGTGATTTTAATGCTGTTATAGTATAGTATGTCACCCAGAGTCACTTCTGGTGAGACAGGTTACTATATAAATTTAAATAATGAATAAATACATGTACAAAGTTTACCAAGTATCAAGTCCCATTAACAAAGTCAGGTGTATAGGCCAGGGGTGTCAAACTGCTGGCCTGCGGGCCAGATGCATCATAGAGAACCATGCCCACCTCATTGCCGGCAATGGGGAAAAAGCTCCGATACGTCACGCGACATCACATGATGTTGCGAGTTTGACATGTCTGGTATAGGCAATTTATTATATAAATTACATTAAATGTTCAAATTAGTTGCCATTTTCTTCTTACTCATTCAACACAGGACCTTTGAACATTCTAAATGCAGTAAAACTTTCTCTGGAAAAAAATAATAAAGCATATTATTTGGACTATGTCGCCTAATGTTTGAAACATCCTGTACATATAACCACCAAAGGATTTCTTCTTTAAATTTGATGATGCTAGGCATAGTTAGAATAATGTTGGGCTCTCAGCCTAAAAACTTCTTTTCATTTCCAAAAGTTCCTGGAAGGAGCGTATAATGAAATGATCACACTTGTCCTATGGAACATTTTGTGAAGTACTGCAGAAAATAAGATGATGATGCCAGTACTATTGCAATATACAAGGAGTTTAAGGAAAGATCCCTTGATCATCTATTTTTTTAAAAAAGACAAATAAATACAATCTTCCTCCAATCTTGTCCAATGTTACTGAAGCTTTTTAAAAACCCTCATGAAAAGACGTGAGGCCTCAAAACTGCTCTGCCAAGGATAAAGTAGGTTTTATTTAGCTATGCATTTCAAATATGAGCATTTTTGCCCTAATGTGACAGATGCTTTAAGCAAAGAAAGCTAAAAATACCTATCCCAGAACATAGAATTTTAAATCTCCCCCTCTTTCTCTGTCCACTCCTTCCTTCCTTCCTTCCTTCCTTCCTTCCTTCCTTCCTTCCTTCCTTCCTTCCTTCCTTCCTTTCTTTCTTTTTTATCCC